GAGACGGGGTGTCGACTGAGCAGTGGAAGGAAAAAGGAAACTAGATATATATGAAATATCGCAGAAAATAGTCACAGCAGACATACTCACTCCGACTTCCTACTAATAAGGCATCCATCCAATAGATCTGTAGAGGCAGCTAGCTGGTACACTGTGTTCTCAGGTCCGGGGTAGTCAATGCAGGGTGATCCCGTATCGATAAGTTTATATGAATCAGCTTCGTTGAGCCCAATACTCTGAATCCTACCTCCTACCCTTTGAACGAGAGAGGCAACGCAAAACGTTTTCAGTTTTGAAATATGAGAAATTCGAATTCGTCTTTCATTTGCCCCGACAAATATAAAAGAAACGAATTGATTCTGAACAGCTAAATGTAGAAAAGGCTCCGCAATAAAGTATCGACTCTACGTCTTTTTGGAGATGGGCGTTACTGCAATCATCGGTGCTGAAAATTATATGTTTTGCAAAATATCCAAATAATGTCTGCACTCACCTATTCTGAGCTTCAAGAACGATGACGTTCTTGAATCCAGAAGACAGCAACTTTTGCGCCGCACTCAGCCCGGCCAACCCGGCTCCCACGACTATGACCTTGACATTGGCTCTCGACTTCAAACTCTTGGCCAGGAGCCGCTGTAACTCCCTTGGAAGCGCGTCGTACAAAAGGCGCTTTTCTATCTGTTGCCATTTCGAATTTCTGTTCACCAGGTCGGCCTGCTTCAAACCCCTCTCCAAGATTCGCTGCTTTAAAAGAGTTCTAAATCGCAGGGCGAATTCCTTCTTTTCTCTCTCCCGGCGTTGTCGAACATCCTTTGAAATGGCCCCGGGTTTCCTTGTAAGGTCCACCGGAAATTGCACACGAGGCCCCACGATATGACTGGGGACGCTGATAACCGGGAGCAGACGAGGCCGGGGAGGAACGTGCTTGACAGACGTCACTAGATTCAAGGGCTTTTTTCTTGTCGTCTCGTGATCCTGCCACGGCTCCATTCTGCTCAAGGAAAAAAGAGCGAGTTTGTTTTTATTTCTTTTAAAAATCCTGCTGTACACAAACTAAATCACGTTAAAGGCGAAGTGGAACTCGAAAGTGCAAAGCGCATGTATTATCAGAACTTGTTACTTCGTTTTAAAAAAATGATAAACAAGAATTTTCTTTATATAGGTGTTTTCATGCCTCCACCAACACAATTTAGATCATTTAGGAAGCGGGCTTTGGTCATGTCTGTCTTGGCAAACCTGGGAGAAAGACCGAGATACTCAGTAAAAATTCTCCCAGCATGGAAATCGAACACAGGCCTTTTGTGCACGACGGCAAAGCGCCTAACTGCTAAACCACAAACGCCGATAGTCACTGTGGAAGGTTCATAAAGATAAAAGAGATATAGATCCAGCTGTGTATCATTGTAATACTTTTTTTCCTATTAAGAAGTGGTTGTTTCGATTAAGCGAGAGTAATGTAGGATGAAGAAATGAAGGCCTACATGGATGGAATTTTGTAAGTAAAGTAGGGTAGATCTTTCTTTTTTTCTTTTTTTTTTTGAGTCAAAGAAGAGCAAATCGACACGGGTGCACTGACAGGTTAGATGATAGCGTCCAGAACTATGATACTGATGGCCTTGTTTCGAATCCCCCGAAGTGGGTGTTCTTGGAGGGGTAGGGTCTTTTTTCTTTTTGAGTTAGTTACGGTAGTTAGAATGAGGCCAATTGTAGAGACTCAACTCAGTGAATCCCAGTTTGGCTTCAGAAAAACCAGGGGCTATACTGACGCTATTTTTACATTAAGACAGTTTTGTGAGACTGCCATTGCACATGACAAAGACCTCAATATCATCTTCGCGGACCGGGAAAAGGCGTTCGACCGGGTAAATAGATGTCAACTTTGGGAAGTCTTGGAGGAATATGGTGTAACAGGACAATTGTTGGAGAACATCATGGCACTTTATAAAAACAACAGAAGGACTATCGGATTGATTCCCCATCAGGTCTGGGGTGAGACAAGGGTGTGTTCTCTCTCCGCTTCTCTTCATGACTTACATGGATAAGATCACGAAAGAAGCAAATGACAATATCACTGAACGGAACGAGCTTCCATGTGCTGATGACCAGAGTATATTAAATGTAGATGAAGAGGAAATACAAAAACACACCACAAAACTAACTGAGTAATGTAATAAAACCTAAACATGAAAATCGCCATTTAAAAAACAGAAGTTATGAAGGTCAGTAGAAACCCAGGGAAACTGAACATCCTTATTGACGGAACACAACTCCAAAAAGTAGAGGAATTAAAATATTTGGGAAGCATCTTATTGTTTGTTTTAGTAAGATTTTACGACGCTCGCAACTATAAGGTCATATGAGCGCCAAAGGGTGGATGTCAACAGAGAAGTCCAAACGGGGAATCAGGCTTACTTTGCTCACCTCTCTTGCCTCAACAGCGCAAAGTCTGCTTCGACAAGCAAGGCACCTCGGAAATAAAAGTTCACAAGAGAGTGACAAACATGCAAAAGAAGTAGAGGGAAAATGACGATATTAAGGATGAGAGAAAAAACGCAGCAGTTCCCCCTATGTTGTTGGGCACAGTATGAGCATGACATTAATAATCAGCCCATGTACAATTCTACTGTGCATAGGTACATATGTTAATATCTCCCCTTTGGGAATGGCCTAAAGACAACTTCAGTCAGCAGCACTGCCCTGGAGGTAGAAGTAGAAGCATCTTCATACAAGATGGGCGTACGGACAAAGAAATAGAAACAAGAACTATGAAAGCAAATGCAGTGAACTACCAGCTAGCACGCCCTGAGGGCTCAGTCACAAGAACATCCCAACCGAAGTGAAATCCCAGCTCATCAGTAGCATTTTCATACCAACCTTAACATACC